CGCGCTGAGTCCAGAAAGCAACTCCGTACGAAGCGGGCCAAGGCCGCCGGTTTCGATCCTAAACAATCCCTCCCTTTGAAAAGTAAGTGCCCCCCCCGATTTCAAACTAGTTTCCAATGGGGGACCCAGGGAATAACCCGAATCCCCCCCCCCCCCCGTCATCTCTTTTAGTTTAAGAGCCTCCCTAGTCCGGAGCATGTTTCTTGAGAAGCTAAACCCTTCTTTATTCAAGAGCACTTACTCTCTGGTAAATGGGTTTAGGAGCACCAAACTGAATCCTAAAACCCCTTTTAGCTTTCATTTTTTCCCCCTTTAAGGGGGAGAGTTTAAAAGAGAGATTCGTTCTGGCTTTCTCTTCCTTCCTACCCCAATTATTTTGATCAGAGTTTCTGTAAACAGGATCGATCTGGAAACAGATATCTAAAGAGACAGGAAAAGTTACCTTTCGCTTGCGCAAAAAAAGGCCAAAAAAAGCGCCGTTTTTGACGGACGGCTTCCTAAACTGACTTGCGAAGAAGCAGGAATAAATCCCCAGCCACTCTTTAAACTGAGCGGTAGGTTAATAAATAGCAGTTTATTTAGTTGATATTTTGCTAAAAGAGGGCAGGAAGGGGGGAAACGCGCCGTAAAACGGCGAGGGATAATTAGTAACCAACTTGTCAAAGCCGTTCAACTCTTTAAGTTGGAAGACACATATGTATGTGCGTGTGCGCCAGCGCTTTTGCACACGCACGCACACGCACACATGTTTAGGACCTAAACTAACAAAAAAAAAGGGTGTCTCGTATTGGCGAGTCAGCAGCCGATGAAAGTTTTTTACTGGACAAAAGATACTAGGGGGAGGGGGAAATAATCTTAGGAAGCAAAAAGGTTTACCCGGAGTTAATTATTATTAGATTCCTTTTCATCAAATTCACACCTTTCTCTCCACAAAGCCTATCTCTAGAAATTCATATGTGACCAATATTACTATTACTACTACTATTACTACTCTGGCCAAAATGATTCTTGGCTAGATGTGATATTGTGTGTGTGTGTGGGGGGGGGGGGGGAAATCAATAGATGCCTTTTGGAAAGCCCTCCCCACAAAATGCTT